TAATAAATTACTGACGCGCAATCTTGTTAATGGACAATCGCATTTTATAATATTTCTTTAGAAGCTTGTGAAGTGTGATTTTTAAAACTGAAACATTCCTTTTACTTTTACATACTGGAATGGAATTTTTACTGTTTTTATTTTAATGTATTTTTATTTTTAAACTATCGACAATTCATGGTATTTACTCTACTTAAGTTTTTACGGAAAATGAGTTTATTCTTTAACAGATTTGTTAATTAAATTAATTTTGATATAAATATTCGAAAATATTATGATTAATTATAATATATACTACGTACTTTAAACAGGTTTAAATAAGTCTATTTATTTATATTAAACTTCACACAATAAACAAAAAGTATTGTTTATTATGAATTCAATTTTATTCAATTTTTTTAAGTCTGTTAAAAATTTCATATTGTTATCAAGCTACATTTATTCTGTAAAATATTAATAATAAATATCTTTAAAAATGAACATAAATAACGGCTATTATTTTATTCTATAACTGGAAATTTATCATAATTTTTTAACATTAAAAAAATAAATTTAAACTGATTCAGTTCAATTTTTACGTCTTGAAAAATGTAATATAAAAATAAAAATATATTTATAAGGAAAAAGAAATAAAGTATAAAAATATTTTTTCAATTTATATTTCTGTTTTATATAACAAAATACGAAAGAATGTTTCTTTTTTTATTTTTTTTTTTAAAAAAACTTTCTTTTATTTTAGATGCAATTCATAAAAAATTATATAAATGAATTATTTCATTATTTCAGAAATATCTACGTAATTATAACTTAATAAATATAAATAATATCTAAATAATAAGCTAATAATTTGAAAATAATAAAATTAAGCCAATAATAATTTCTGCTTACGTTTGAAAATGAGGATAATTAAATATTTCAAATATCTAAATTCGTATTTTAATTAACTTATTCAAATTTCGTAATTATTATTATTATTATTATTATTGAAATAAAATTAGGATATGAAATTAAATATAAGTGTAAAAAATTAATTTAATATATTTTTTGATGATTTTTCCCAAGTGAAAATTGTCATATGATGAAATTATATGCTATATATAAGAATGCATTTATTTTAAGAATTTGCATAATTCGTATTTTCATATTTGATAAATTAATATTTCCTTCTTAATTTTCTTAATTAATAATATTAATTCAAAATGAAATTAAGTCAAGTCTGTTCTTTATTTTGGTTGGCAGTGTTCCACAAGGATTACTAACGACAGATGCATTCTATTACTGTGCTTACTTTTGTTAAATAACACTTATTTGCCCACTAATTAAATTAGAAATAACTTAATAAGAATAAAATAATGTAAATTTTATAAATTAACACAAGTTTCTTATTTTTATTAAAAATTGTTTTAATTTTTATATTTCGAAAAAAACACGAAGATTATTGAATTTTTAACAATGAATTATACAAGATATTTTCATCGTAAAGCTACATTTTCATGTAATATAGAATGCATTAACAATTTAATTAAACAAAAAACTCCATAAGAAATTCAATTTACTGACTAAATGTAAAATTCAATATTCTACTTCGGAGATCAAATTAATCCAATTTAATAAAAATATTAAATAAATTACGTAATAAATATAGAAAAACATTTTTAAAAAGTAGAAAATTCTCTACTTAGTGAATTCGTTATTAGATGTAAAAATTACATTTTTTTAAAATATGTTAGTTATTATATATTCTAATGAGTGTAATGTATTATAAATTAAATTGACTTTGATATTTCTTATAAAATTTTACTTTCTTTTTTTTATTTACGTTTCATTTTAATCAACTTTATTACTTGGAATAAAATTGATAACAGCAATAGAAGAGCGCGCTCTCTCTCTCTCTCTGTTAATAAGATCTGAATTAAAAAATATGAAGGAGTAATTTTTTAAAATTAATTCGATAAAATTAAGACTTAAGAAAAAATCCTATGAATAGAAAACAATCTATTTTAAATTAGTGTATCGCTTCATGCATACAATTTATACTTTGTTTTACAGAATAAAACTCTGAAGACAAAAGACAAAATTCATTTTTGCAAATTTTCTTTCAATTTAATATCGTGATCAATGTATATGTGTGTGTGTGAGACATGTTTATATATAAATGAAGAAATACTTTTCATCAAACTGTGAAATAATAAAAACCGAAGTTTAAATTACATGTTTTATAAAAATTTAATCGAGTATTTTGAAGCTGGAATCAATTTAAAAAGAAATGTTCGGCATGAAAAAAATATTACATTCGTTTCAGTTGTGATTGAATTAGATTAAATATAATTTTTAAAATTCTTTTATTTATTTGTCTGACAAAAATCTTTAAATATAATATTGATTTTCTTTTTCCTTTTTTTCACGAGTAGTTCGATTTATTGAAAATTGATCAAAAGTTTCTTTAAACTAAACTGAAAAGTAAGTTTTTGGTTTACTTAAAAACCTCTTTTAACTCATCGCAGTCAATATCGCAATACGGAATCTCTGTTATTAAATTATTAAACTCGCAATCGTTCAACTCTTCTTTACCTATCCGTATGTAATCAAAAGTTGAATCATTTAATTTTTTTTAAAATTAATTCCAGTACGAATAAACATATTTTTCTATTACTTAATGATTTTAATGTATTCATTTAAAAGTATTTAAGAATTATAACAGTAAATAAAATGGAAAAACGAAAAACTTTAAGAAAGAAATAGCAAAAAAGTTTTTACAAATATTTGTGAAGTGTAAACATGTAAAAACAGTTTCTATAATAGAATTAAATGGATTATTTTTATAATACTATTTACTTTCATAATGATGTTTTTGTACAAAATATTTATATTTATTCCAAAGATAAGCAAATCGTATTGAATACAATTTATAGTTGTTGAAATAGGAATTAATTCGTGTTATTTCCTATTTCAACAACTAGAAATTGTAATGATTAGCAATATTTTTTAAGTTCTGCGATGAAAATAATTTTTTTTCAAACAAAATATAGAAAAAGAAACTATTTTCATATATAATATAATTTAACTGTTATAAAGGTATGTGTATTATTATATATACAGTATACAACGTTTTCAAAATTATTCTGTACGTGTAATATGAAATTACTATTTAAGGGGTTAAGAAACTAAAATAAACCAGAAAAATGTGAAAGAATTATATTTAGAGCGAATAAACGTTTTAGTATATTTTTAACAATGATTTTTAAGCAGAAATTTTGCAACAATTTGAATGTTTTCTTTATTTTCTTTTCAGAATCACTTTTATAAAAACTGAGGCAATCATTTTCTTTATTTATATTATCGCCTTTAAATATTTGATAATCTATTAAGATTATAATTACTTTTTGAAGGATAGACAATTTCAATTCTACATTTTCCCCAACAAAAAATCCATTTGATTAATACGTATATTCAAATAATTAGAGTCGTTTATTTCATTTATTTGAATTAATGATTTCAATGTCTAACATATCAGATAATTCAGGAAAATAATGTATTGTAATTTCATTGATTCACATGAAATGAATGAGTAATTTGAAACAAAATGGCATAAGAATTTATAGATACTGTATAACAGTATTGTAAAAAACAAAAAAATAGATGTATGATGGAAAGAATGGAAATATTCTAAAAAGGAAACTAACAAAAGTATTTTGAAATATCGAATTCTACTAAAACAATTCTGATTCTATTCAAAACAGAGAAAATTATAATTGCAGTTTAATGATATGTAAGTTTAATGAATGGAGTTAATTCATTTTCATTGACTAATTGGTTACTTTTATTTATCGTTTCTGCATAAAATGCATTCATGTGTATTTTCTAAAATAGCAAAGATCTATTATATAAATTATAATTACATTTTTTCTTCTTCAAAAGCAAAATAATATAAATGAGATCTTCAGTTACCATTTTGTATAATATAGATAAATTCTCCAAGCAACTATTAGCAAAACGTCGAGTAAAAATTCGAAAAAGGAAAATCTCAGTGGAGAAAAAATATATTAAAAACACTTTTCTTATTATTTAAACTTGCAGATGATTGGTAACTTTCGTAAAACTTCAACATTTACCTGGCTTTTCAACGCGATGGTCGGAAGAAGGTTCTGCATGAAGCGGTCGTTATTACTTTTAATTATGTGAAGTATTTTAATTGCTAATAAGTGAATAATTAGAAGAATTACTACGAAATGCATCTTTATCCCGTTCATATCGTTACGTTTGGTAATTTTAAAAATTAAAATGTGAGTATTTATTTATTTTGTGTTATAAATTTGCTACTTATAAAAATGATTAATAACAAACAATATATTATTTTAACAAATTTAAAATTTTTGCATAGAATGAATTAATTTGTGTTATTAATTTTCGAACTCTTGTCTGAATGCAAGTAAAAATCACATAATTTACCATATTTTCATATGTACTCGTATAACTGATAGTTATATGTATTTAAAAATCAGTTTGAAAGGAATTTCAGGGTCTGTTATATGCTAATTTTAAATTACAATTATGGACTAGCACCTATGAAACACCAGCTGTTCCATAGGCACAGATACAGTGGGCAGATTATGGAAAGATTTTACTTAATATTTTATGTGGGTGTATGTCACTGCAGGTTACATACATAAAAATACAATAGTCCTTTTTTACTTTACAAATACTTTTAAACATGTATGTATACAAAATAATATACACTTTATTTTGTGTGAAATATTAATATAATGAATAATTTATTTTCTAGAATTAATATAACTTTTTGTAATGATCAATTTAAGACTTATTAGATATATACAGTGNCGCATGAATATAATTGCAAAATTTGCAATTTCTCAAGATATTTTCTTGAGAAAATTGCAGAATTTTTAGAAATGACTATCCTTACTTTTTTTCAATATAAAGTACAAAACAAAAGGCAATATAAAGTTTATTTATAGCATAAATTTAAACAAAATACTTACAATTGAGATCGAGTACAACAGTTGCAGATTTGGGTGCTGTTAGATTGGTATTTGAAGCTTGACATAAAAACACAGCTAAGAGATCGGATCTTTGTAGACTTGGAAGTAGTAGTTCATTACGTACAACACCTTGAGGCATTGAAGAGTAACTGTCATCTAAAAGAACATTTCCTCTCCACCAGGATATTACTGGTGGTGGATTGCCTGCAACAGAACAGAAAAGAAGCTTAGCTATTGCTATAGAACGAACTCAGTAATTTACTTTCATTTTAATAGAAAGCAACTTGAAAATCAAAATAAGATCTATTAATTAAGACAATGTTATTTTATTATCTAAAATTTAATAATTACATAAAGAGGTAAAAAGTTTCTGTTTTAATTTTTTCGTGATGAAATTATATATATATATATATATAAAATACAAACCAACTTGTGAAAAACTTTAATAAAAGTTTCAATTTTTAAAATTAAATATAGAAAATTTAAAAATGCGCTTATAAAAAAATAAGATAGCAATATAATTAACTTTTGAAGTCATAAATATATTCATATCGTTGTTTGCAGTAAAATTATTTTAGCATCAATAAACTAATTTTCTTACGATGTAAATAATTCCTACCTATTCAATGTTTAATTTTTTAGTAAATTACTAGTTTGAGAAATGTAGCATCATAAATGTTAACTTATTAAACAGAGCGTTTTTAGATGGATAAATAATAAACGAAAAATCTCTATAGACACTGCAATATTAAATTTGAAAAATTGAAAATACTGTAATTGAAATAAACATTTATTTATATTTTGTACATATATTTAAGTTAAATTAAAAAAAAAATATGTTATTCTTTATGTCTAGTTAATTTATTCAATACAAATGTAAAATGGTTCGAAAAGATACACAGAAATGATTTTTGTCATAAAAATCTGTCAATACGAAAAAGTTTACAAAGTGTGTTCAATCAATTCACCTAGAAGCTTTGAAAAATCACCATTTGTCAACATGTATGCAAATTGAATGCAAAATCTCTTTTGTGTATTTGCATGTCATTTGCAATCCAATGCCCTTCTGACTAAAGAGTAGCCAATCATTCGAGATTCTGAACAAGGCTGCAAATAAGATTATGTACACTCACGTCAATTCCTATCTGCAAAAGCATTGTCGAGTATAAAAATATTCTCATCGATTAATCTGTAAAAATGAATAAAATTGCGCAATTTTCAACAATATTTTCCCTTTTCTAACTTTTTATTTTATATTATTATACTGTGTTTATATAAATAATCAATATATTTTCTATAAATGTATAAATATGTATAAATAAACTACGTTATATGAGACTAACCATAGAAATAAGTTACATATTTCTAAAATTTTCTGTATAAATTTTGCAATATTGTAAAAAATAAAAAAATATATATATAATATATCAATATATGCTGTTGTATGTAACTTATTTATTCAATGTAATAAGTAACATTAATTGAATGAGATCCAAGATATTTGTTTTGTGCACTAGAGATTCTCACAATTGAATTAGTCTTGAATTAATAGTTTATTTGTAGTAAATGGACATCTTAGAAGAATAATAAAATAATTTTTGCGAAGAGATTTACCTTTATGAATTGGACTTTTTATACTCTATCAATTTTAAATGTGTTTATAAGTGTTATGTTTTTGAAAGTTTTCTATAAATGATAACTTACCTCCATCGGCTTCGCACACAATAGTTAAGTAGCTTCCTTCATCTAGAGGACCGATAGTTTCCGATAATATTTGGTTGTTATCGTCTTTGATAATCACAGCTTTAGGAGGCACTGAAACGAAAAGTTTTGTACTGTTAAAAGAAAAATATTTTCTGCAAACAATATTCGTGCTATACTTGACCTATTTACATCGAACGGCAGACATGCACGAAACAAGATTTAATGTTTTGGAAGTAAACAAAAAAATAATAAATTCGAAGCTTTTATATTTTATATAAATTATTTTACATGTGAGAGATAACAAATTGTTTTTTAAATCACTTAACGTCTGTTATTTTATCGATTTTTATTTCCAAAAATAGGAAAGTTGTTGAGTACGGTAACTCAACATGCAATCTAGCGCTCACCTATGACAATAAGGCGGACACTGTGAGTAACTGTTCTAGATCGTCGAAAATCAATTCGACATCTATATTCTCCTTCATCATCTTCGGTCACATGATCTATCTTCAGATGTGGCGTTTTTGGAGATACGTCGAAATATACTCTGGCACCGAGCTCGACACTAGGAAAATGTCTAGCCTTAGGAAGAGGAGACCTTCTGGCATCTAGAGTGTAAATGGGAACTTCAGCCTCGCCTTTATACCATAAGATCATCGAAATGGCCTCGTCTTTAGACGAAACCGAGATGTTACAAGGAAGCATCACTTTGCCACCTGATACAGCATAATAGTCGTCCATACCTATAAAAGATCGTTACTTTTATTACTTTGTCACAGTATAATAAAACAACGAAATATTATTAATAAAAACATTAATTGCTGTTGCTATTTTTAAAATAAAAAGCGTTTAGTGCATTTAATTGGAAAATAATTCTTTGGGCTTTCCAAAAGATAGAATTTAAATCCTTTTGATTATTTGAATTTGCATGCTCTGTTGCGAATTCATTCCTGTTAATGAGTGGTTTGTTTAATCACTGCTGTGCGAAATTTAATTTGAGAAGCTGAATTAGTTAACACGTAGCAATTGGATGATCATCTACTGTAGATGATTGAATTGAATATAATTATTGTTGTAACACCGAATTTTTATGTGTATCGAACATATACATCAAAATTCCATTATGCTCAAAACTGCTTACAGAATGTTAAACGGCTTCTAATAACTTTCTCATATAATATCGTCTATAAATCAAAACACTATTGAAATGTTTCGAATAAATCACGACTTTTAAACATTTCTTATGCTTCTTTTATTTTAGAAATGCTTTAACGTTCAAAACTTTGTGATATTTTCAGCTTGTTGCATCTACCTAGGCAAAAATCTGTTATTTGATATTCAGAAAATGAAATGCTTTATCCATATATATAAAAATTTTTATAGAAATATATTTTCATTTTTCTTGAATATTTTTTCTTTTACGATTAAGAAATTTGATATAAACTTTCTATAATTTATTTCTAAAAAAATAAATCAAATTTTTTTTGTATTAATCGTAAAAGATGTAAATTTTTGCTTAACTTTTTTTTAAGAAAAATAATTATTTTAACACAGATCAATAAATGAAAATTAAATTATAAGTCAGGTGAATTTTTAATCAACATTATTGCATTAATTATCTTTAGATGTCTAAAAGTAAAATTAGTTTTTTCTCAGGCTACTTTTTCCCAATCTGTCTTACTCATCCCAGTTAAAAATATTAGATTTACTTCTGTCTATTAAAAAAACACTATTTCTTCTTATTAATTAGAGTTTTTGTAATTAAAATTGAAAAAAAATGGAAAAAAATTTACAGACATAAATGTGTGCTCTTCTCTTCAATTAAAACAAAGAAGATGTAAACAGGAAAATAAGATAAAAACATAAGATGCGTTTTTCGTTTCTTTTGGTGAACATGTACTACCATAAACTATTTACCTGTAGAAAGCTAGATACGACAAACACAATGATAGCTTTTCAAATTGCTTTCAACTTAAAGTTGTTCTAACAAAGCCTATTCCTTTCAAACGTAAAGAGAGTTGAAGTTGTGTCACAAAGAAAGGGCAAACCTTTGAAAGGTAACTACTAGGAAAATGAATGATGTCAGAGTACTGGCATGTCAGCACTTGGAGAATTCTGTGGCAGGTATATTGATTGTGGAGCATGTTAGAGACATAGTGAAAGTATTCTATTCACATTAATGAAAAGAAATTTATTCTATTATTTTAGTACAGAAAACTGCTTCAACTTTATACGAGTTAGTCAGAGATTTTAGGAAGGATTTTCAATTAAATTTCCTTCAACGGCGGCTAAATCCTTGGTATAATAATGATACAAATGTTTGCTAAACAAAAGTTAGTATAAGATAAATGTGTTAAGTTCTTTTGATATTATAAGAAGGGAAATAAAAGTATTGTATATATCAGCGAACAAAACGAATTTAAAAAAAGGATGAAAGAGAAAAAATAGAATCATTTATCAAAGAAATCTCGTGCTAGATTACAAGTATCTGCTGAAAGTATTTAAAAAGAATTAGTTGAAAGTACGCTAAACTTTGAAATTAAGTTCCAAGGGTTGTTTTATAGTATATTAATGTAAATTTATTTCTCATTTTAAATTTATCGTTTCAAATGAGTTCTAGTTTGCATCGAGCGACGAAACTTTCGAAAAAAGAAGTTTAGAAAGAGCGAAACAAGAAGAAAGTTGAAACAGTTGCTTTCTATCAACGACCCCTTCAATCACGCAAAAACAGACAATCTAAGGTTAATATTGGTCGATTGTAATCGAAACGTGCTCCTAAATTTATCCGGGCGATTGATAGATGGTATGAATGGTCCCAAGAGAGACATGGGAAAAACATGAGCAGAATAACCGCTGTTCCACGCTACTGAGCCTACAGACAAATCTAGATGGATGAGCCAAGAGAAGACATCAATAACACAAGTATAAAGGTGGATAAAGGAATAAAGAACGTTAGGCAAGGAGAGTGCAAAGATTCAGGATCAGCTTTCTCTAAGTGTCACGCGGGAATCTTAGCGTGAAGGACAAGTCATACTGCGCTCCTTAATCTAACAGTAACAATAGGTGAGAAATGTTACTTAAGCTACTAGATAAGAATAGTACAGAGAGCAGAGTAGTTCAACAGAAGATATTGTTTCTTTTCTTCAGATGAATGTAAAGCTTGAATAATGACAAGCGGTTTTATAAAACTTGATTCTTAAAAATTTTAAACAAATTTAAGTCAAATGCTCTGTTTTAAATTTACAATGTATTGAAATATAACAAAATCATATAAGAATTTCGACTTTTACTAGAACTATATGATATCATTTCTAGTTTCCCAAAAGAATATTCCAATGGAAAGGAATTTGGAAGATTAAGGAATTGTTTATAAACTACCAGTAATACAAATACTTTTTCAGTTATAGTATAATGTTAAAGTAATATTCTTGAATTCACATTACATGCCATTATTTCGCATTTTTGAGAGAAATGCCATTGAAAATATTAAGTATTGAGCTTTAAATCGAGTTATTCAAAAAATATAGACATAGCTTTATATCCAAAACACAATGTAAATTCGAATCGACATTAAATGAAATATGATAGTATCTTCAGAATGGAATTATAGTAACTGACGATTGTAAAAACTGAAAAAAAGAACGCAATGGAAGTTTTAAATATTTCATTTTAAATGTATTGAATTTGACGATATTCAGGACTTTGGTAAACTTAGATTTGAAACTTTATTCACATCTTTAAAGTTTTAAAGACAACATTCTGTTTTCTTCAATCGATAAAAACACTTTGAGAAGATACTTTTCAATGAAAGTTGTTACAAATTTCGTCCCTAAACGAATCCACAGAACGGATAATCAGGAAAAGTTTTTCTGTAGAATGTAATGGATGGGTTGGACTTTCATTGGATGTAGAAATTTATGGTTCAGTGGCTGACTATGCGACTACAAAAAAGAACTACAATAATCCAATTGAATGCTTTTAAGTTGTAGAAGTCAATTTAACTTCAGAAATATTTCTTCATTAAAAACTATAATGAAATTTAGTAGAGTATTACCATCCATACTATGATATTAGGAGAAATAGATAAACTCCAAACGCCTCCAAATCCTTTTTTTTTTTTAAATCACTAGTAATAAAATTTTTGTAGATAAGATGAATAAAATGTCTTTGGGGGTAGACACAATTTTCCTTGCAGCATAGCATGAAATATTTATAAAAATAAATAAATGAATGAATGAAATTAATAGTGAAGAATAATTTGAAGAATATTTGACATTACACAACATTTACAAAAGTATAAGAGTTTAATCTTTTAAAAATTAAAATAATAATCATTTTTTTATTGTCAACGCCATACAAATTTTAAAAAAAATCAAACTAAATCTAATCAATTTGCAATTTGAAATAATGTATTTTCAAAGGAAAAATGGGGAAACTGATTATGTTAAAAATAAAGAATATGTAACTTTAATATTATAAGAATTGTAAATAATCCGAAAAAAATATATCAGAATTTTAATGAAATATCGTTTAATTAATAAAAGGGCTTTTTGGCTTTAATACATTTTACTTTTCTTTACTGAAGGGATTGTTTCCGAGGAAATTACATTTCCTACCAGATATTTTATTGATTTTTAAAAGTCTGTTCGTTGAACTGTTAGAGAAGGTTTAGGCTAGTTTTAAATATTGTCTTCTAAAATTAAATATAAATTTTAAAAAAAATTTTCCCTGTTTACTCTCTTCTAAAATTTCCTAATATTTCTTATAGCANCATTAAGATTAATATATTTTCCTGTAGGAAATTTATTATTTCGTGATCGTTTTAATATAATTATTCGTCTCTTATTGATTTATGATATATTTCTACCCTGTATTTGAGAGTAATTATATAATATCTTAAATAAATTTGTAAAATGCAATTAGTATTTGTACAGTACATGGAACTCAAGCAGGCTTTACAGGACGTGATAAAACGATGGCGAGAAATTTAATTATGCGCATAAATTGACTAAATATAGACCCGAAGGCAATAAATTATTGGTTATTGTTTATTTTAAAAGAATAAATGCCTTGGAAATATGGCGACTTTCGCTGTATTAAAGGTATGCCTTTTCTCTTAATCTAATTTCATAATAAATCTCCTTGAAATAAATATTTGACTCTAATAGCTATTGGGTGCTAATTAAAATATATAAATTAATAAATATGAATATTAATTAAAACGATAAAGTTGTTGATTTAAATTTTAGGTTGTTTTAATAACTAAATAAAAATTTTCTCTCTGTTTCTAAATTTTATTAATTAAAACTTTTTAAAAGCTTTTCTGTTAAAACTTTTTATTTGTAACGATAAAAAAACATATTTAAATGTGTTTTCTTATCCTTTTTTGAAGATGAATTGTTTTGAAAGTAAAACTAAAATGTTTTATACTTAATTAAATCTACTATCTAATTATATAATAGGTTTTTAGCTTTTAATAATTTCAGTAAAAAGTTCTATAGCTCTCGAAAACTTTAAAGAAAAAAAAAACTATATATTAACACGTATGAGAGAACGGGATTGGGTGAAATTTAATAAAATTTAACAAATTAAATTAATTCACTTTTGAAGAGGGAGGTCGATGACTACTATAAAGAAAGGCACTTTTACCGTTGAAGTCTTCACTTCCTCTAGCAGAAAATTTTAACGACAAAATTATTATTATTTTTATTATTTGAAATAAACACTAAATTTATTACTAATT